GCATATTGGAAAACAGAAAGAGAGAAAGAAAGGAGGAAAGAATGAATGAATGAATGAAAGAGAAAAATGAAATAAAGAAAGACATGAGAAGAATAGGGGAAAAAATAAAGATCAAAGAGAGGAAACGGAGAGAAAGGAAACGTACAAATGTGAGAATTAAGAAAATCGGATGAAAGTGAGGAATTCCATAATCCGACTGGATACAGATTTGTCAGGATGAAGAGAATTCTGAGTTGTGGCTGACAGTGTACCAGAACATTTATAACTCTCTCATCAATGCTGTCATTTTATTCAGAACTTGGAGGCTTTTGAAATTATAATACACTTCAATTTATAACAGAATTCCGGAGAAGATTGAGTGCTATTATGTAGTCAGTTGGAGTTTGTATCGACAGAGGGCGCAGACTTGCAACGAGGTGGAGGAACAAAATGAATGTAGCAGTCTACGCATGAACGCATACACACATAAAACACTTCACAACCCCCATACACGAAGAGGGTGTTTCGAAACAAGCATATTCCACTGCAGTAGTTGCATAACACCCGGTAGCTAATTTTCTTTTTTTATTTTCATATTTAATAATTCACTTGTTAAGTGTTTATAGGTGCACATTTATCTGTTAGGTTATGTGTTCATTATTAATTTTGGTAAGTATATTTATTGGTGTAATTAATGTTTTATTTGTTTAGTAAAAAATTTGTACAAAACTGTTGTTTTAAAAGAAAATCCTGGAGGAATAATATATATGGAAGACCTAGAAGCGTCAAAGAGATAAAGCAGAATAGCCGTAAAGGGATTTGTGTTAAGAAAAGTGAAATCAGATGTTCATCTATTTTGGGGGGGTTTGCGAGTGAATTATAGGCAAGTTCTGAATTGGATAATTGGATTTACTGACACCTTATACAATCAACTCGGGACTACCACTAACCTACGCACTTTACAGTTCACCGTTACACACGCACTACGGTTCTCATTCTTCATTAGTCGTATTCTGGCAACGGATTTCCACACAGTAGCTATATCAGCCTCAGTGTCACTGCAGCACACATGAAGTCTTCTTTTCACAGAATAATTCCTTTCTTGCCATTGCTCTGCACACTACCAATTCCGAAAAGTCGACTCAATTCAATCCCTCAGCTCCCAAGCTCATATCCCGGCAGGCCGACGTCTCCAAACTCGACTACCTCTTCTCAACTGAACTCTTTTTCTATAACCACTATGCACGAACCACATAGAAAACACGACCTCTCTATTGTGTGGAAGCTGTGTTTACAGCGCTTTTGCATAGCAACGGAAGTTAACCGATTGTCGCGTGTGTATTCGTTGCCGCGGGAATGTGTTTACCGGTTGTAGGGCGTCATGTCACAGCATTTACTGACAATTTTATATATTGTTCAATGCTAAACATAGGTTAATACAATTCGACTTGTGTCTGACCACCGAGATGTGTAAGTTCAACAGGCAGTCCTGTATGTTTCTACAGTAACACATTCATGTTACAAGAAACACCGCGGCGGCCCGAGTTCGATCTCGGGTCAGGTCAAGTGGGACTTGTGGTGGACAAAGTGGGGATGGGGCAGGTCTCCTACGAGTATTTCGGTTTCCCCTGCCAATCTTCATTCCACCAATAGCTCCACAATCACCCTCACCTATCATCTTGGGCCTGGTACAACAGGCCAGAAGTAGCCGCAGTACAAGGGACTTAGTCCCACCCCACTAGCAATAAAAAATATGTTACAAGAACATTCTTTTGTCAATATACACAAAGGCAATCCTCTAACTGCCTATAATTTCTATGATTCAGTAAATATACAAATTACCGTTTAATAATCGTTGTTAAATCAAATAAAATCCACCACTCAATCGAGCACAGTTTCGTGTGTCTCGTTATCAAGGTTATACACGAGCGATTCACCGGTCACTATGATTGAAGAACATGTAGGGACATGCAAGGCACGAATGAAGATTGAGAAGCTCTGATACAATATCTTAACCTTGTCAGGTCTCACATTGCTCCCTTCTTAGTTTACTTAACGAGATTTCTGCAACTACACAAATTATGTAGCCTCGAATAGGAACAAGGTAATGGATACAAAGCCGGTCACGGTAGCCGAGCGGTCTAAGATATGCACTGTCTTCGCTCGCTCGGAAACTGCGATCGTGAGTTCGAATCCCACTCAGGGCATGGATGTTTGTGTGCGTTTTTCTGTGTTTGTGTATAGGTAAAGGCCTTGCGACGAGCCGATCACCAGCCCAAGGAGTCCTACCGTATGTCTAAGATCTAGTAAACCGAAGTGAAACGGAGAGTTTCATGGAGGTAGGCCTAGGCCCAAATATGGGCTGTAGTATCAATGAAAAAAAATGGATACAAAAATTCTGGTAGTAGATCTTGTCTCATTTTAATGACACTCCCTTAGCATTTTCCTTGAGACACTAGAAACATGCTTCATCAGTCCTTCCTTTTATATGGACATGATTTGCTTCTCAGAATCACGAATTTTGATGTGACCTATTTGAAATGTACAATTCCAAAGTTTGGATTGAGAAAAAGAACGAAACATTTTGTTCTGATGTACTTCCTTGTCTGAAAATGAACACGGGTTACTTACGAATACGAAGCAAGTGCACTAAACACTCAACTGCGACGTTCGGCGGAACTGAAGAAAACCGTGAAAAGAGGATGTTGACGTAGCGGTATTTACGTATTGCTAGTGGGGTGGGACTAAGTCCCTTGTACTGCGGCCACTTCTGGCCTATTGTACCAGCCCCAGATGATAGGTGAGGGTGATTGTGGAGAAATTGGTGGAATGAAGATTGGCAGGGGAAACCGAAGTACTTGTAGAAAACATGCCCCAGCGCCACTTCGTCCACCACAAATCCCACTTGACCAGATCCGGGATCGACCCAGGGCTGCCGCGGTGCGAAGTCAGCGACTTACCGCTTGAGCTATGGCGCGGCCCTCTTTTTTTTTTCCTTGGCACTACAGCCCCAGTGGCCCTAGGCCTACCTCCATGTACTTCTCCGTTCACTTCGGTTTTTCTAGATCTTACACATTCGTTAGGACTCTTGGGCGGGTGATCAGTTCGTCACAAGGCCTTTACCTGTACACAAACACAGAAAAACGCACACACACAAACTAAACATCCATGCCCTGAGTGGGATTCGAACCCACGATCGCGGTTTCCAAGAGAGCGAAGACACTGCATGCCTTAGACCGCTCGGCTACCGTGACCCGCGCGGCCCTCTTAGTAACCTAAATCAAATAGTATATCAAGGGATTGACAAAGGAAAGCAGTTCAAGGCTATATACCTGTACACACAGATATCTACACAGCCGGGGTAGCGCAGTCAGTATGGCGACTTGCTACGGGCTGGAGGACCGAGGGGTCGGAGTTCGAGTCCCGGTAGAGTCTAGAATTTTCTCTTCTCAGTGTCGTCCAGACTGGCTCTGGGATTCACCCAAGCTCTTATTCAATGTGTACTGAGCGCTCTTTCTCTAGAGCTGACCACTCACCTCCAGTTAGTGTCGAGGTCAAGAATATGTGGATCTATACATCTACTCCCCCATATGCCTTCATGGCGTAGTGCTTAATTAGTTAAGCATAAGGACACCTTTATAATTATTTACAACATATAGAAGAAGTAGACTAGAACATATCTTTTCGTGAATCCATTTCGTTCAACAATTTGCCATTAAATATGAGCTTTTATTACATATATAGTCGACCAAGTTCGTTTCTTCATCAGAACTAGTTATTTAGTTATTTTAGAGAGGGTGGGCTTCCCCATGCACCGCGATCAGTTTGATCTATTGTGCTTCCCTCTATGATATTCTACCAGTCTCTATACCCTAGCGCTAAATAGTGCTTACCATCAGTACCGCCGAGCAAGCGAGTTCGGTCACTTGCTTAGCGGTGTCTATAATGCTTCCCCCATCTACCAGAGGTATTAGAGACTGCTATTGGGCAGGAAACGTCCGTAATTTTGGCTCAGTGACCTCCTTTGGAGATATGAGGTTCTTTTACGTGCCGTAAAGCTACGACACGGGACCCACGGCTTAAATTCCCTCCCGGAGGACTTGTTCCCTGAATTATTCCGCCCTTAACAATTCGATGACCTCCGCCGGGTATTTGAACCCGCGTACTACGAGTCATGAGGTGGGAACGTTACCTCTAGACTACGGAGGCCGCTTCGTCAGAACTAAATATCGGTCACCATGGAACGAACAACATGCACATCATCACAAGCATACAACTTACTGCTGAGCCAGACACAGACAGTCCGGTTGCAAGAGCACTATCTGCAGCTGACGTACGCGATACTGCGAAGGAGCCCCACTAACGGACACAGGCAAACAGAAATGGCACTGCAACATTGACAGCGTGAACTGTTGCAGCTGCTGTCTGCAGCGATTGCACGGTTTTACTATACCAGCACCGTGACTCAACACACAACCTGTAGTCTGTAGGCATTACCCACATTTTTGTGAATTTTGTCAGCGTCTCCAGGCAATTACCGGGACATCTTGAAATAGCCTGAGTCGCTCCTTCCAGATCAGTACATACTCACAGTTCTTGGTATGTTAGTATATTTTATTGCTAGTGGGGTGGGACTAAGTTCCTTGTACTGCGGCCACTTCTGGCCTATTGTACCAGCCACAGATGATAGGTGAGGGTGATTGTGGAGCAATTGGTGGAATGAAGATTGGCAGGGGAACCGAAATACTCGGAGGAAACCTGCCCCAGCGCCACTTTATCCACCACAAATCCCACTTGATCAGACCCGGGATCGAACCCGGGCCGCCGCGTGGTCTGTTAGTAAATCAAGACATTACTTATATAGTTACCTAGTTAGTTACATGATTAGTGACGTTAGTTAGTACGTAGGAAATTCGGTTAATTTGCTATTAAGTTCGTTGTTTCGTTAGATTTGTAACTTATTTAGTTAGGAACTGCGTTAAATACGATCTATTCAGATGCATAATTAGTTAGGTTTGTTGGTACTCGCTTCGTCGGTACATATACGAAAACTGGAACGATAAAGAGAAGATTAGCATTGTCCCTGCGCAAGGACGACACGCTTAAGCATGAAGCGTCCCGTATTAAGCCACGCCATAGCACAAGCGGTGAGTCGCTGGCTTCCCACCTCGGCGGCCCGGGTTCGCTGTCGGGGTCTGATCAAGTGGGATTTGTGGCAGACAAAGTGGCGCTGGGGCAGGTTTTCCCCGAGTACTTCGGTTTCCCCTGCCAATCTTCGTTCCAACAATTACTCCACAATCACCCTCACCTATAATCTGGGGCTGGTACAATAGGCCAGAAGTGGCCGCAGTACAAGGGACTTGGTCCCTCCTCACTAGCAATAAAAAAATAATGTTTGTTAGCTAGTTAGCTAATTAGCTAGCCATTTAATCATTTTACTTATTCAGTGACATCAGCCAGAAATGCAGTTAATTAAGTGGTTAGTCAGCTATTTTTTCAAAGTTAGCCGAATGGTTATTTTATTTATTTAACTAACAACATAATTAATATATTCATTATATAGTTACTTAGTAAGTTACGTTTGCGCAACTAAATCTTGTCATAGCGAACGTTTTGTTTCTAAAATTATCATTGATAAAATACATTTCAGTCATAATGTTACCATAGAATTTGCACTACAGCTGGAATTAACATGTCTTTCTGAACACTTCCAAATAATAACTTTAATTGTATTTTAACTCCCTAGAAATTGCATTGGAATCGAACTCAATTACCACACGAATGAACCGAAAATTTCCCAAGGGACTTATTTATCAACGTTCCCATGTCCAGTGACAAACGCGTGGAAATAGCCACACACATTTATCATTGCGAATTTTGGAGGCTCACAGCCGTCACTCAGCGAACGACGCGTTGTCGCGTGAAGTCAGACACAATTCTTACTAAGACATTCCTTAGACGCTTAATGCAAGTAAAGTAGTCAATACTTCGTTTTATCATTTCTTGGTCGAATCTCTCCTGTCAGGTTTAGGTATCAGTGTACACCAATGACATGAAAACTAAAAATATTAAACTAAAAGAAAAATCCGTTCTTTCAGTCCTCAAGCGAACTATATCGACAGAGCCACTTGTCGGAGAAGTTGGCGAAGTTCGCCTCCGTGGTCTAGTGGTCAGAATTCCTGGCTACGGATCCAGAGGTCCCTGTTCGATTCCCGGCGCTACCATAATTTTCTGAGAACTAGTTGGTCAAGAAAGGGGTCCACTCCGCCTCGTGACAACTGAGGAGCTATTTCAAGGAAATAGCGGCTCCGGTCTAGAAAACCGAAATTAACGGCCTTCGGAATTCGTTGCGCTGACCACGCGACATCCTCTATCTGCTGAAGTTGGCAAAAATATTAAACACATATTGAAAAATTTGATGACAAAGAAGCATTTCTTCCTTAACACTTAAACCCAGCAAGAGATAGTATCGTACCCCATCTACTGTAAATACACAGGTTAAACTGCTTGTTTCTAAGCATAAGGCCATAAAGGCGTATAAGGGGTGTCGAGGTAAATGTCCACGAATTATTAATATTGGTACTGAATGGAGACAATAGATTGTTTCACACCCGTTTTTACCGACGTGGCAAGAGCAACTAGTATTCACTGGATAAGAGGCTTGAAGGTAAAGACAGAACCGCCTCTCAGTGCCAAGAATTGAACTCCGAGCATCCATCCCACGTCCTATCACTATATTGGCTAAAACGTCAGCGCTTTTACTTCTGTCTAATCAACAAAATTATTACCGTTTCTGCACAACGGTAGCAGAACCCGAAAGTCCACCAGCGCTAATATCAAATGCCGCAAGTCAATAGGATCCTCCACCAGGTCTATCCATCCCTCAACTTCGCGCGGCATGTTTCTGTGAGATCTACATTAATGTCATTATTTTCTTTCAATTAATTGAAATAATGAATGCTAATTTAAAATATGACATACAGGTTTATTGAATAAAATACAGTCTCGTATTTATAATCTGATTTAAAGTAATAACCACTGTTTTAAATGAGATTATAAATGGCTTCGGGGGTTAGACGTTGGGTTTCCACTTAGAAGCCTCGGATTCAATTCCGAGTGACTTCAGATGATATTCGTGGTGGAAGAAGTGGTACTGGAGAAAAATTCTCTACGAGTTTGTTTTCCCTTTCTAATCACTATTCCGTCATTGATTCGTGGTGGAAGAAATGGTACTGGAGCAGATTTCTGTCCGAGTTCATTTGTTTTCCTTTTCATATCACCATTTCATCATTTTTTTTCCTTGGCACTACAGCCCCAGTGGGCCTAGGCCTATCTCCATGAATTTCCGTTCACTTCGGTTTATCTAGATCTTACACAGACGGTAGGACTCCTTGGGTAAGTGATCAGCTCGTCGCAAGGCCTCTACCTGTAGACAAACACAGAAAAACGCACACAAACATCCATGCCCTGAGTGGGATTCGAACACACGATCCAGGCTTCCGAGCAAGCGAAGACAGTGCACGCCTTAGACCGCTCGGCTACCGTGACCGGCATCATTTCTTCATACTTGTCTACAATCACCTCCTGAGGTGCGCCATAGTTCTGACCAGGCAGCACATTATCACATGCTTAGTCTCTAAGAACTTCTTTCGCCTTCTCTTACCCTGCATTTGGATGGTCACAGAGCAGGAAGTTACGCTTACGTTTTTTCCTAACTTGGTTTATTGTGTTGCTATTGCATTCAGTATGAGTCTTTTGATGTGGAAGTGTCTCACCGCTAGAAAGGCGCAGACGAAGAAGATATACGTTCAAGCCCCGCACAGTATTCAAGCAGGAAGGAGTATACCGTGCACTACATAGCAATTCACAGCTCCAATTTAAGCAGAAGGAAAGAAGAAACTGGCGAGACAATGACACGATTCCTTCAGCTCCCTTAGGATGATTCTGCAAGTCCACATAAGGACCGACCTCATAAGGAAGAACTGGGCTTCTGTGCAGCGACAGTTTCTAAACAATAGGAGATAAAACACATTAACACCTGTTTCAATTTTCCTCCTCCTTTACATAGTCCTACAGCTTCTCAGTCTCCTTCCTCTTCCATTTCTTATTCTGCCTCTTCATACTAATTCTCCTCGTATTGCTCTTCCACCGAATCACCTCATTATTCTATTCCTTTTCTTCCTTCTCCTCTTTTTCACTCTGTTTTCCTCCATATTATCCGTCCGTTCCTTCTTCAGATCCTACTTCCTTCTCTTGTTTTCTCTTCCGCCTCTTTTTTCTTTAATCACTTCTTCCTGGAGCCGGGATAGCGCAGTCGGCATGGAGGCTGGCTACTGGATAACGGCAGAGAGATCGGAGCAACATTACCGGTAAGAGCAAGATTTTCTCCTATCCATGTCGTCTAGATAGGTCCTGGGCCCACCCAGCGTTTCAATAGTATAACGATTAATGTCGAGGGAAGGAAATACAAGTACCTAATTCCAAAACGCCGACTCGTTGGTGTAAAATCATTACATATTGTGGCATATAGACCGATTTCTAGACAAGACACGAAATACGAGCATGCAACAATAGAAAAGTTATAGCAAGAATTTTTTTCTTTGTGGTTCGCACTCTGTCCATTGATAGGCAACGAGTCGCTAAAACATTCCAGCAGAAGCAGACGCGCGGAACAAAAAAAAGATCTATTACTAGACAACAGGCTTTGACAATAATACAGGCTGTTTTCCGTGGAGTTCGTGTAAATTGGACAGACGAGAGTAGAGTTCCAAAGCTAGTAGTTTTAGGAGTACAGAACTGAGACAGGAGAGCTGTGGAAGAATGAGAATTGGAACTGAAGGAGTACAAAGAAGTGCAGTGGAGTATAACAGAGTTAGCCTGAAAGAAGAATACTTGATGTGTGCTGTAGTTACAGTGAGAGTGTTATAAATCCGTTGCCGGGATACGACTAGTGAAGACTGGTGAAGTGGGTAGAATAATGATAGCGCTATAAATGGTTGTGATTAAAAGTGATTTAAAAGAAGATGTTAATAAATACAATCACTCAATCAAGTACCCGTTATTATTGGTCACGATCATATACACGTGACAGTATGTTGTGAAGGAAATGTCGCTACCTAATTTCAGAAGAATGAGTCATGGAGGTATAACCGTTACAAGTGGCGCCAAGGAAATGTCACCATAAAATTGCAGAAGATGTTGTCATGGTGGTACAATCATTACATCTTACGTTGGAGAAATAAGAAAATGTATGTTGTTAATCTAGACCTAGAACTTAGTTCTCATTTGTTCTATACGTTGATAATCAACAGTAATCAGTGAACTGATTTGAGTTTTCTTCCTTTAACAGAACTATGTTACGCAGATGGAAAACAACATTCAGACGCAATTCTTGAGAGTTCAGTATACTGCTATCCCTGACCTGGACTTGTTGCAATATACAGCTAAAAGAAACTCTTGATTATCCTGACGAGATTCAACAAGGAAATTGGATTTTCCGAGGCCGACACATGCATGGCCATTTTGTCTCTGACCCAGCGCCATTTTAAGTTTACACATGGGACCATGTGAATAGTCGTAAGTCGTGATTTTTACAGCTACAAGAACAGTCAGTATGAAACATACCAAGATACACTGTGAGGTGTTGTCGATAAGGAAACGTGTCTTATTACCGGCAGATCGAACGTTGCAATGTGTTCAACGATCTTAGAACACATTGCAACACAAAACTCTAAAATTTATCAGGATATCGTATATAGTGAACGCATAAAGGTAATGACACGTGTTGTGTCATCTGCTTCCCACCCAAAGTGCTGAAGGTTTTTTCGGTGAAATTTCACATGGGTTTGAGGATCTCTAATAGAACACGCAAGGACTTTTCGTAAGCGCGTATTGCAACTATCAGTTTACACGGAGCTCAGTTTGGAACACTCAACATACACGAACTTGGTGTGTTACAAAATATGTGTAGAAGTTACATATATATAAAGCATACTTATAAGATCTACAGTTCCAATGTCAAACACTGTTCAGTACGATTGGGGAAAAACTAAACGTAAGAAAGAAGAGTTCAAACACCTATGAAGTGAAGAAAGCAGTCTTCTGGGATTTGGCACCGTGTATATGTGG